GGTGGGGGGGGGGGGGGGGGGGGGGGGGGGGGGGGGGGGGGGGGGGGGGGGGGGGGGGGGGGGGGGGGGGGGGGGGGGGGGGGGGGGGGGGTGGCACCACTACCCTACGGCTCTCGTGTAAGAGAGGGTGATGTGGGGCGCGGCAATCGCACCTGGCTCGCTGATTGCATCTGACGTGCGGCCAGTTCAGCGCATGCGGTAGGAGACAGTTGATGCAACGGCCGTGGCCAATGACGAACGACAGCCGATCCGCTGGACTAAGGTCGCGAAATCGGCTACAATCCTCCAGTGGATGGCCTGGCCCGCAAAGAGGGCAAGAGGGTCGTGAGTTAGGGGATGAGATGGGTCGCTCAGCGACAGCAGGGAGGTCATTCCACGCCTCAATTGGCGGGAGAGGGTCTGTTGCCGCCGCACCAGTAAAAAAAAAAATAATAAGAAAATATTAATAGTTTATAATAACACTCCGCCGTCCCAAAAAAGGAGGGGCGGAAAAAAGGTGTTTCAACCTTTTCCCCAGTTTTAATTGACGTGATTTGAGTTGTTTTATTCGCCATGGTGAGCGAAAAAACTCCGAAGAGCTCTTATGATGAAGCCTCCGGAAAAAAGGTGTTTCAACCTTTTCCCCAGTTTTAATTGACGTGATTTGAGTTGTTTTATTCGCCATGGTGAGCGAAAAAACTCCGAAGAGCTCTTATGATGAAGCCTCTGGAAAAAAGGTGTTTCAACCTTTTCCCCAGTTTTAATTGACGTGATTTAAGTTGTTTTATTCGCCATGGTGAGCGAAAACGGCTCATGCTGATGGATCATTCTTCATCAGACTCTTCGTCATCTCCAGGTTCGAACTTCTTTCCGCAAATCTGAACATGGTATGTAGTGAAGCCAGAACTAACTGAGAGAAGATCTGCAGCAACAGCTGCCTTTCTATCATCTTCAATCTCGATGGCCTGGGCTTTCGCAACAGCAGCTTTCATATATTGTCTTATCAGGAACTTGACGTAGGGGAAGTTGTGAATTGTCTTCGCCATCCCCGCTTACTTTCTCAGCCCTTTTTCATTATCGGCCTTGATCAACAATATAATGCACGCTCCAGCAAGGTCTTTATAATTAGTGGATGCTGCGGCTCCCAGGTCTTTATTGAACCCGTAGTATTTGTCCTCTCCAATAGTTTCGAACGCGATTTTGAACTTTCCTAACTGGACGTAATACGTGGTTGTCCTCGCCGTTTCATCCTGAAACGAGAGTAAACCTTGACTTTAGGCAAGGTTACAAGAGGAAACTCAGGTTGCCCTTGCCAGCCGCGAGACCAAGGTCGTTAAGGTGGGGTGGTACGTAGCAAAAAACATGAGGGGCGCGAAAGCAAACAGAGAAACGAGTGAATTACAAAGGCGACTAAAAACACGGGCATATAACGAACGAGTAAACTACAAGGGCGATTGAAAACATGGGCACGACACTAATAGGCAGAGAACGAAAGGGCGAAATAGAAAAGGCGACAAACAGACCGAAAGGCTAAAGCTAGTCGCGTCGGATTCACACGTGAGCGCCAGAGCCCCTGAACCGAGTTCGCACGTAGACTGCCGTGCTAAGGAAGAGCGCCGTATGAACATTCGAGAGTTGCCAAATTTCCGTCAATAAAATGCTAATTTTTGAGGAAATTTATGAATATTTTTACTTGAAATTTTTAGAATCTTTAGGTGAAATTTCGACCAAAATTATCTGAAAAATTGAGAGAAAAATATTCATAAATTAGCCGAAAAATTCGCGTTTAATCAAAGGAAATTTGGCAACGCCTGAAGGTTCATACGGCGTTTTTCCTTAGCACGGCAGTAGAGGGGCTCGCGTTCCGAGAATTGCATCACCCCTTCGACTCTTCCGATTGGATAATCTCTAACTTCGTTAACCGACGAACATTACATAACGTCCGTCTAACGGTCACTTTATCAGTATTTCAATGTTTCGTCTCATATGTATACAAATTTTTATTTTCTGACTTACTTTCTTGATTTATTCAGAAAACAAAATGATTCAAAATTTTTAGGATTTTTTTTTTTGCCAACATGCCAACACTGCGTCGGATTTGCTTAATCAACATACTCGGTCATTCATACTTTTCATAGTAGTACGAAAGCTCAAGGTCAACTTTACGTTCAATGTCATTTTTACGTTCAAGGTCAAAAAGAGTGCATGTCCGCTATTCGCCGCCATAAGATGACTACATGTGTAGCACGGGTGCTACGCCGGGTCTCATAGGAGCGTGCCTCACAGCTGCCTTTTGTATTTCCTGTTTATGATGATCATATTTTGTACCAATGATACAAATAAATAAATCTCTCCCACAGAGCACGAGCACAACCTCTAGTCATTGAAATTTGAAAAATGTGATCGGAGGCAGCGAATGAATATGAACCGTTCATATTTGCCGCCACCAAGCCTTCCATCTGTATGTATGTTTCATATGTCAATTTATTGTTATTGTATATGTATCATGTTTTCCTGTTGTTACAACTTCAGGGCTGTTCATAAATTACGTTTTGCTCCCCCCGGGGGGGGGGGGGGGTCACGCCATTTTGTTTGTACTTGTAAAAGGATTACGACCTACGTCACACAAGGGCTACGAATGGGAGTCGAAAAATCCGGAAAGCGTTACAAAGTTTATGAACAGCCTGTTTCTTTGTTTACTGTGTCATCTAACTGACTGCCATCGTAAATATTGTCATTATTTGAATGTATAATGTAAATAAATAAAACGAAACTTTCATTACTACTTCTACTACTGCTAACAAGTCATTCTTATAGCGCTTCTGTGCGCTCTGTGACACCCAACCGCCATTCAAAGCGATCCTGCCAGAGCTCCTCCGGCAGATTGCACCCCCTCATTTCCTGCCTTATCCCCTCAATCCGTGATTTTGATTATGGTTTCCATTTATTGAAAATAACAACGTTTTTTCTGAAAGACCTCAAACAAAATAATCAGAATTTTGGCAGGCTCACAAATAGCTTGCACTTAATGCGGTTAATAAACTAAGTAAGAATTGTCGGTTGGAGCTTATCGTACGGGAAAACCCCTTTTTTTAAAACTGCCACGCCAATATGTATCGATGCGTAATTTGATGTAAGTGTCGGAAAATTCTGAGGCATATATTTATAACTTCCTCCTAAAGTATTTTTAGAGGAAATTTGGCAACATTCGAATGCTCACACGGCGCACAATGGATCGATTCCATAGGAGAGGTCGGACAAAATTTGGAAACTTTAAACGCTTATAACTCTGTTTATACAAAATTTTGAGGTTCTGGAAGTGGTTTCATTGGTTTTCTCGTAAAATTTTCTTCTCAAGACACTCCTTGTTTAATATGTGACGAAATAAACATCAATATTTACAGTTTTAGTCAAAAATGTTTTGTCCGACCTCTCTAATTTACTCGATCTGTGCGGCGCGTTTCCTTAGCACGGCCGTTTAGACATATTATGCGAGAATCTCATTGTTGAAGAAGAAACAATTTCAAATGAGAATCTGCTTGTTACCACGATAGTTCATAGTTTATTCTGAAGCGGCGGAATGTCAAAAAAACGCCTTCAATAAATTGAATAGGCACACCGAGCTCCTAGGAGTTCGAATAGTGGTATCACGCCCAACAGCACATTTCTTCACAGTGCACACTCGTATCGTAAACCGTGTGGTTATTTGGGTGACATTTTTGGCAGTTAAAAATTATTGATTAATTACCTAATTTGAAAATTTTTCCTTGACTTATCCAGATCAAATCATGAGTACAATTTTCCGTAAAGTTCACGACCGAAAAAAGAAGGTTACTTTTCCGAGAAATGTCGAATTTCTTTTTCGTAGCATGCAGATGTAATTCGAAGCACACCTCTTGCCTTAGTTTCGCTCTAAGGAAGAACGGCGTATGCGCCTTCAGCCGTTGCCAAATTTCCTTCGACAAAACGTACGTTTACAGAAAAAATTGGAAATATCCGTCTTCCGATTTCTCAGGACAATTCGTTCGTAATTTGATGCAAAGAGTCTTGATATTCCGTGGAAAAATCATCATTACCTTCTTCAAAATTAAATATTTCTAGAGAGGAACTATGGCAACGACCGAATGCACTTACGACGTTTTTCCTTAGCAAGGCAGTTTAGTTCATCAACACATTGTTCGGAGGTGGTTTTTTCTGTTTTTTTTTTTT